CATCATCATCATCATCATCATCATCATCATCATCATCATCACCTAGCCAAAGGCAAATCTCTTTTAAATTGTTTCCAAGAAAAAATGTATTTAGATGTGCCCATGAAGTCACCAGGAGTTAAATTCAGCATGGAGGCTTGACCTTATCTTATGTCAAATACCAAAGTCTTAAGGCACCTCAAAGTTTAACAAGTTTACTTATGCCATAATCAATATGCTAGTATGTATGGGAGCATGAGACTCTGGTGTTTTTTCTGCAAAAGAATAATGCATCTTCTTTTTCTGGAAGCAGATATTAGTAATGATAGGTTTTCATATACATTCCCTTAAAATTTTTGGCCATAATTCTTTTGCCCCTAAATATTGTGTCAGTTCCACACTGTTTAGCATCACATCCAGTCTCTCCTAATTTCTGGTAGCCCAGACAGCTTCTACATACATACATTTCATCTTATCTCTTGATTCTCAGTTGGCAGTGTAAGACTTACCTTACACAAGGAGAGTCACAATGACCTTCCTTTTGATCATCAGCCAGCATCTCTGTCTTTGTTGACTTGTATGGGTCCAGGCCATTTTGCAGCCTGGAAACCAAGAGCATCAATTAACAGAGAAAGTGATTTCCGTAAAGGCACATGGTTGGGAGGCGATTTTTAATTCTCAGGATAGTTGCTGCACTACCAGAAATTGCAGCATAATTTCAGGAAATCTACTGCAAGAGAGTTTATCTGATTTTGGAATAATTATCCTCCTCCAGGGATCTGCATAGGCATCCAGGTGCTGTTCATACACCTGTATCATGGCCAGGATCATGTTCAGGCAGCCTTGGGGGGTGGGGGGCTGTCTGCTTTCTTCAGTGTTTCTCAGATGCTCAGCTAGTTGGCCTCCACAGGCAAGCAGGTGCCAAATTGTTCTTGTTTTGGGTCAGCCTGAGCTTCAGCAGGAGGCTGCTTTGCACAATCCTATTGTCTTTCCCTCAAGTGAGGTTTGTTCACACACCAAGAATGGGTGACTCTGTCCTTCTGTTAACAATACCCAAAACAGTGACTACTTTCATTCACTGCATATATGGAAAACTAATCAAGTTCATTAATATCAAACCTGGACAGACTTTCTGGCCTGCTCCCCAGAGTTAGACTACAATTTTGCATTCCCCTAACCAACATAGTCCCCATACAACAGGGCCAGCCAGATTCTGAACTATTGCTACACCATTATTCTGAAACCGAATTCATGATTCTTAGTTTTTCTCCAATATCAAACTCCAAATATCAAAGCCCAACTGTTGTGCTAAGGGTAGGAGGAAAAAAAGCAGATCAGAAAATCATTGGAAGTATTGCTCCCAAGCTCGTTTCTGCTGTCAAAGAATGGGCTCTTGAGATTTCTGCTTGTTTCACAGAAAGAAAAGGAAGGTTAGAGAGTATAGGAACTTTCAGATAGATCAGAAGATTGCTACTCAATATTATAATTGCCCACTGTTTTAATTTACAAAGTTGCAAACAATGTTACATTGCTCCTTTGATCTCAGTAGTCTTCCAATTGTTATAATGGAAAGGAGGCAACGTAGACTCCAAGTCCCTACAGCGTCAGTATTCTCTTTCCCTTTCCATCAAATTCCCACCTTCTTTGGATTCCCATACCGTGTAGCTGGAGATATTTAAATTATTTTTTTTCTTTTAAAGTGAAATAAACCTACAAAACCACAAAGCCTAGAATGAAATCTGAGTGGCCCAGTTCACTTCCTTTTTGCTATTTTACTTTAACAATAAATGTTTATTTGTTTCCTGTTTCCCAGACACAATTAGGGCTCACAGGAATCTCTACAGTTCACCAGCCAAATCCAATGGGCACCCTGCCTCTTCGTCAACAGTTGCTTTTAGCTCTATCAACATTGCAGAGGATAAAGGATGCTATGTTTCCAGTTGTCCTCCAGCTCACAAAGGAATCAGTTATTCTGAATTTATTCTATTTGCTCTGCTTTTCAGACGGGGTGTACAAATTGGTAGACCAGCCTCTGGGAGATATCTGGTTTCCTGATGATCCCTTTCTTATAATATTGCCGAATTGAGCGGCTCAGCTTGTCGTAGTTCATGGCAGGCCGGTTCTTCCGGATTCCCCATAGCCGAGCCACCTGGGCTGAATCTTCAATCTTAAATATACCTAGATGGTAAATATGAGAAACAACAAATCCATTTATGTTGGCTCTCTGAGCCACAATCTACTGACCATCTTAGCGCTATTATGATACTTTGAATCAGAGGAATTATTAACTGAAAAGATAGCTTGCTTGATAAAAAGAGGAAGAAATGTTTGCAAAGAAGAAGAAATGTTTGCAAAGAAGCACAAAAAGCAAATAAAAGGAATATATTTGGAGAAGCAGAAACAAAAGCTCAATGTTTTTAATGTTTAATCTTTTATTGTTGGATTTCTAGCCTGGCTTACTATTTATTCCAATGCTCAAGTCAGCTTATAACATTAGAAACTACAGTGTATACAGCATAGCAAAATTCATATAATTCAAATCAAAACCCAAATTAAAACTGATCAGTAAAACATATATGAATCCTGACAAGCATCAGGCCCATCCCATTGCTCTTATACATCTGGACAGTAGCAATTGTCCTCCACAGTTGAGAGTGGCCTAGATAAATCGCTTATTTGGGAGCTCCCATCTAGACTACTGGTCATTCCGTTTCCCTCCCTTGTTTTCCCTTAAGTTCACACCTGGTGTTCTATGTCCTTCTCTCCCCCTTCCCCAGTTTTGGTGAGCTGTAGTGCAAACTTGCAAGAGTTCTTGGTATCTCACGAGAATTGGAACAAGTGCAACCTAAGCCCACAAAGAGCTCTTTTGCAGCCCCCAGAATACCCAGGGTGGGTAAGGCCAACAATTTCAAGCTTTTGGGGGCCTTTGGGAAGTGTGGGGATGGGTGAAAGGGTAAAATGGTTTTTCAGATACTGAAGACACCAATTTCACACGTGAAATTCCTCCCACCCCCAACAGTCCCTGCCCCTGGGGATTGTAGCACATGTTAAGCTGTATAGAGCCTCTGTATTTTAGAAGGTCTTTGGAAAAGGACTTTCTAAGCTATGGAATCTTGAACTTTCCAAGTAAGGAATTGTCTCCCATTTCCAATATTAAATCAATATCACTGACCTTTTTCCTTATTGAGCCAACGAATGAAGCGACCATAGTTATGAGGCTTCAGCAGAAGCTCTTTCAAAAACTGCCATAGGTGAATGGGCTGGCCTGAGCAGGATGAATCTACCTCACTGTCTGTCCAGTTCTCTTCACTGCCTATAAGTAAGGAAACACCCATCCAAATTAATTTTTAGAAAGCAATTTACTTTTTATTAGAAAAAGCAAATTGCTTTAGCCATGAGCAATAGCAGCATCACCTAGCTTAGGCTGTGCACCACATCTCCTATTGCTAGAGAAAGTGGATTGGAATAATGTAATGCACATTGCATAGAGCTACTCTTGAAAAACGCTAGACTTCTCAGTTGCTGGTGTGAACAGGGTAGCTAAAGTTTCTACAGGAATTAGCTATCAGGAACATGTTAACATTCCATTTGCAACAGTAGTATTAATGCCCTGCTTATTTCTAAGCCAATCAACATCTGTAATATTCTAAATGGTCAAGGATCAAACCATCTAAAGGTCTCCCTTCTCTCCATATGAGCATCACACTGATCGAGCTGTGCTGGAGATACTCTTCTTTGTGTCCTACCTGAAAATATCAGGTTTCTATATACCCAAAATTCAAAAAAGAATCTTCCTATTCTTATATCTGGACTATAATAATTCCTCATGTGGTAGGTCCACCATCATGTCTCCTCTTCGACAGTTTTCCACCAGTCCCCATAGACTTCTCTTTTTCAGCAAGCATTTAGCCTTGCAAATTTCTAACTTTATTTTCTGAGATTTGAATTTTTTTAAAAAGCTGTTGGTCCTGATTTATTTTTCATCATTCTGTTACCTTGTTCTTTCAATCTCTGAGGGCCAAAGGAATTTTGGCTCTAGCTGAGCAGAAATGATGCTTCCCCACTCACCCAAATTATGATACATGCTATCTATGGCCACAAAAGTTATTTTAGTCTCTCTCTCTCAGCTCATATACAGGATTCAGTAGTCTGACAGTGTCATCCCACTTTGGCAAATAATAAGGCTGTCTGTTTTCATACAGTGTATTCCTTATTTTAACTCTTATTGTAAAAATTGAACTCTTTAATGAACTAATATATATAATAATGTATTATATTCATATACTAAAGGTACATATTTTAATCAATATCGCTCTGGTCTTGAACAAACTGTTCATTTTCCTCTTTTGATCCCACAGAATCCAGACAATAAGCAGAACTAGAAGGGGAGTCGCTTCTACTAATAGGAATTGAAATTGTAGTATGCCATTTGCTTGATAATGAATAACATTTGGATTTTTGAATAACTTTTTTCTGCACCCTTATAGCTTCTTAGCTTTTTAACATTTCTCTATCACTAAAGTATTTTTTAATTATTAGAATAATAAATAATATAAAATCTATTTTATTTTTATTGTTGACAACAGTTAGCTCACCACAGTAATGCAGCTCTCCAGGAGCAGTTTTTTCTTTCATCCAGGCAGCTGGAAAGCAAACATAACATGAAAAGATAATCTAATGGATTCTGACAGGCTGAATTTTCCCAGTTTTTTTCGCTCTTGAGGTCTCTTCAATAGCACTAAGAAAGTCAATCACTCACATAACTGGAAGGTAGGCAAAGCCCAAAGCCCTTCTCTGCAGCACACTCTACCTCAAACTGATTAGCACCAAACTGACACAGTCCAAAGATCTGCTGGAGCATTAGGCTGAACGCTGAGACAATCCCAAAAGGCAGCAGGAAGCCAGTGGCACAAGAAAAATCATAGCATAGATTATTTGTCTATAAAGAGAGCCTTGGTTTCCGGAAGAAGTTTGGAAGTGTCAAGACAGTATAGGAGAACATAAGTAGGAGAAAAATCCCGCTATTGCTCCTACTCCATATTGAAATAGTTTTTAAAGAATAAGTTTTTTAGGTTCATCATTTGTTTCTCAATTCTCTTACTAAGTACCTGACTTCCAAATGTCTAGATGAGCATGTAAAACATCACCACATGGTGGAGAACGTTGACGGAACTCTTCCTCAGACATGTCACATAGGTCCTTTCCAGACAAGTCTTGGAATGATTTTCCAATCTGGGGCAATCGATATTGGTGTTCTGTCCATAAGATCCACTTCTGGACGTTTCCTGGACTCCAGTCTGCCGGGTCTACAAAAATACCCCAAAAATACATATTCTAGAGTGTGTGCACATTGCCTCAGTCATAACTCAGAGCAAATATTCTAAGAAAATATTCCAGGTGACCAGTATTGTGAGGGGGAACTTCTCCACTTTTTGATATTTTCACAGTTCTGATACATCAGCCAACATACAGCTTTCATATCAATGTGTCCTGCTAAGGTTTTAAAGCAGCAGTCGTCTCTGAAATATTAGGCAGTAGTAAAGCTATGACTGGAATTCCAGAACAACAACGGTCAATAATATCCCAATGATCTCCCAGACAGTAGTGCATGTTGGATACATCAGTAAATAGGTCTGATGTTAGTACCCTACATAGGCATGGACAGGCCAAGGTTGATATGGGCTGATGATAGTTGCCATATTAGTCTTTATTTTTTCTTGTTTTCAGAAATGTTCTAATAATTGAAGAGGTGAAACAAGTAGGTTGGCTTTTGTGTAGACAGTTTGGATTTTATATTTGTGTTGGCAGCACTTAGATCTTGCCTAAAATGACTTTTGTACTGGGAACATTTGCCTGGCAAGAAACGCATTGCAGCTAGAAGCGCTAGAAGAGGAGCCTGATATGCTTGGCTATCCATCTTTATTGCAACTGAAGTTCACGATCTGTATTTCCTCTATCTTGATTGAATTAAAAGAAGAACAGGCCTCCTTCAGTATGCAACATTTGGAAACTTCAAATAAATGAAAATGCCTTCCTTTCACTACCTCCAATGAGCAACTTCTAAGCTTTCCTCAAACTGGGAGACTGTACAGTTAAATTGACCAATCTAAAATCTAGGCAGAAACATATTTCAATTTCAAAATGAAATATTCATTTCAAAGTAGATCATCAGATTGAAGCACCACCAAGCACTCCTGCTGATGCTATTTCTTCTTTCTTTATGCTGATTTTGCCTCTCCCTTATGATCTCTATGAAGAACATAACATATTGTGTGGTCCAAAAGCTGTTCAGTATCAGTCCCAAATCACCAGGTAAAATCTTCTGTGTCCCTCTTTCCCTGAAATAGAATGAGAGGAATCCCAACCTACAATGGTCCCTTGTCCTGATGTTCTAATATTGGTGGTTGGTGTAGTATTTTCTGAACATTTCACTCCTCTTGCTTATTCTCCATCAGTTAGCTCCCTTTAGCCTAACACATGCTCATTATGTACACATGGATCCATGCAATGCATACATGTGAATGAAGTATTTGGTAACTGGACAATGATGAATAAAGTGAAAAAAGCAGAAGCTGCGTTTCATAAACCCATGGCATGGTTTAAGGTGTATGACAGGGATCTGTTCTCCTTTAGATGTTGCTGCCCCTCAACCTCTATCATTCACAGCCACCATGATTTAGAGTCAAGACATTGGGTCCAACACTACCTGGACAGTTCCAAAGCTGGTTTATGGCAGCCTTCCATAATTTGACTCCCTCCAGCCAAATGTTAACTACTATTCCTATCAGCCCCAGACAGCATGGCTAATTACGAGTTATAGTGGGATCATCCCTGAAAAGACCTCAGTTGGGGAAGGCTGGTTTAAAATGTCTAAGGCTTATCCAAACAAAGAATGCA